CGCAGGACAACCACGGAACAATAGTACACAACGGCGGAACAACCACAGGACAACCACGGGACGAACACGGGACAGCCATCGGAACAACCCCCGGGCACGCCTTGGCCACAGAGAGGCCAGAACATTTTGAGTCCTCACATGACCCGACCACAGCAGTCTTCCAGCTTAAAATGTCGAGGTCGGCTCATCGACTCGAGCATTCTGCCCCAGTCGACGTCGCTAGATCAGGTCACTTGCATTGTTGCCCGTACGTGAGTGCCTGGTCCCGCAGCGCGATTGCACCTGGAAGCCTCCGAACTACGATGCATCAGAGTCTGATATTTCGCCGTCGCCTCAAACAGGAGCCCGCTTGGGGAAACAGGCTGGGCGATAATATTGGCTTGTCACTGCGAGCCGCGAGCGCAGCGGCTCGGCTGGCTTACCATGCAGGGTGTATGTTGAGGCCCAAATGAGCACCCTTGAAGTATTATGGTGGCCAAAGTCGGCAGGGCCTCAACATACGCACGAAATCCTCGGGGATTGTGCGGGAATAACGTCTGGGGGGTGTTGAGGCCCTGACCTGGGGGCCTTAACATGGCCTCGACGTTCGCCGTGCATCTACGAGTCCTATACGGGAATCGCGCATGGCGGATGTTGGAGCCTTCGCCGAAAAAACGCCTCATCGTTATCTCAACGCGCGCGCGAAGCCTTCGAGGACCATGTGGGAATCACGCATGGGGGATCTTGAGGCCCTCGCCCCGATGCGGGAAACGCGTGTGACGAATATTGGTGCCCTCGCCCAAGACGAAAGTCCTCGTCGCGTCGACGTGGGCGCGGCGTCCACGAGCACGATGCATGAATCGTCTGGGGTCTGTTCAGGCCCTCGTTGCCAGGTTCACGATCCTCCCTGCAGCGGCAGCGTGGGCCTGAAGATTCAAAGCTGGAGCGGGAAAGCGGCTGTACGGCAGGAGTTCGCGCAGCTTCTGCTCGCATAGCCCGCACGACATCAGCCGAAACCGAAATCTTCAACCCTTAAGTTGTGTGCAATTTTATGGGTGTGAAAATTGACGAGGGGTCGGAGCTCGCCTCCTGCGTATTCATAGCTTGTTTGCCTCCCAGGGGGGGCCGTGGATGCGCTGCTTGTGCGGCTGCTGCTGCTTCTTCTGCTGTTGCTGCTGCTGTCGTCGTCGGTCCTTCTGTGCGTCTGTCTGTCTGTCTGTCTGTCTGTCTGTCTGTCTGTCTGTCTGTCTGTCTGTCTGTCTGTCTGTCTGTCTGTCTGTCTGTCTGTCTGTCCTGGCGTCTTGGGGCCTTGTTGCCCAGGCCAGCAGTCGTGGGCGCTCTCTGCCCCGCTGCAGAGGAGCGTCAGCGTGGGCGCTCTCTGCCTGGCCACAGGGGGGCGTCGTGGTCGGCCTGCGTGCTCGTCAGGCCGCAGTGCCCGTTCGTGTGTGCGGGGGGGTGCCCGTGTGTGCGTCGCGCGTGCCCGTCAGCAACGGCCGAGCCACGCTCGAAAGCCCGTTCGGCACCGGGTCCCCCGCCGCCCCTCGTCGCCACGGGCACTCTCGCGCCTCTCGTCGCCAAAAGTGCATGGGCCCCTGGCGTGAGCCAAACCCTGGCCCGTGCCCTTGCTTGCCTGCGCCCTGCACTGGTGGACCCCTGGCGCAAGTCAAACCCCAGGCCCGTGCCCTTGCTGGCCAGCGCCTCCTCGTCGCAGTTCCCAGTGCAGCGCTTCGTGGCCCCATGGGGAGTTTCACCGAAGAAGATATTCACAATTGCGATACCCACAACTGCATATGGTTGGGTACTTCGCCAGGAACATGTGTGTTTTTCCGTGTTGTCTGTGGTTGTCTCGCGGCTGTAAGGTTTGTCCCGTGTTCCTCCAGCCGTTGCCCCGTCGGTGTCTTTTGGTTGTTGGTGGTTGTGCCGCGTTTGTTCCATGGTTGTAGATTGTGGGTATCGTGGAAATCAAGATCAATGGCTTGATTGATCGTGAACCCGATGCAAGGCCAATCGCAAATCGAAATTTGTACCCACCTGCCCACCTAATCTGTTTGTTCGCCCGAAGGGTAGGTGTTGGTATTATATACAGATGTAAACCACATGTAAATGTACGTATATGTATGTATGTATACATACGTATGGATGGTTGGGTCGGTCGGAAGATAGTGATATCGATTGGTAGTGTGACCGATTGACGTTCTGATCGTGGAACGATGGACATATAATAGAACCGATAGGGAGATCGATACGTAGACATCGAGATCGTTTGAACTAACTATATGTGTAACTTATTCGTAATATATGTACATCTATATATATGTGCATATCGAATTCGCGTAGGCGCTGTAGGCAAATCCACGGCAGCAGCCGCTGATTGTTGTTTCGCCCGTCCGTCTCTCTCCCTCTCTCTCTCTCTCCTCCTCCTTCCTCCCCTCCTCCTGGTCGGGACGAGTCCCACGGCGGTCCCACAGGGTCCATTTTGAGTGAATTGTTGTTTCGCTTATTCGATACGCGCTGCCCGTCCAGACCCTTACGGCGTGTGCCCACTGAGGCTTAGTCTGTGGTTTCACATTCGCCCGGCCGCGCTGGTCATCTGCAATGGTCCGCTCCCTCCCCCCTTTCAAAAGAACTATATATATATATATCGGATTCGATCCGACGCCAAATTGGAACCGAGAGCTGCTCCCATCCCCCCAGATTCTTGATCAGTCGAAAGGGTGGTCTGATAGATATAGCCAACAGGCAAGTTGTTGTCCGCAGGGAGTGAGCAAAAAACCGCGAAGTGCAGAAGCGGCTAGTGGACTCCCCACCAATTGTTGAAGGCGGCGTATCAGCTTGACTGAGCATCTCAGCGGGGTTTCAGGGCATCTTCATCGCGCAGCTGCCCTATTCGCAGGTTGGTTCCTTCGCTGGGACTTTGGCCACCAGGGATTGACACCCGAACAGGTACAGTCAAAAACCCTAATAAGGACGCGCGACTTTGCTCAGGGTACCCTTGCGTCCTTGCTTTTCCTTGCTCTTGCGTCCTTGACGTTTTCGCCGTCCGCCGCCCCAAAAATCCCAATTTCGGCTTCCAAGGGTCTTGCGTCCTTACCGCGCAACCTTATTAGGGTTTTTGACCCTGGCATCGCTCGGATGTGTGCATGTTTTCCTTCGGCGAGGACCATCGAGGAGCATCCTTGATCATTTGGCGAGAAAAACACGCACGAAACCGAGAAAAACACGGGGAATGGACGCCCGAGCGATGGCCAGTGGCTGTGTGCTGCGACCCTGCGGGTCGACCCGCAGGGGACGGAACCGAAGTGGGGCGGTGCCGTGCACGCGCAGCGGGGCGAGGGTCGCCCGACGTGCGGGGATGCCCCCCTCGGGAGGCCGCACCACCACGCGCCGGCGACAGGCTCCTCCTCCTCCTCCTCCTCCTCCTCCCCCTCCTCCTCCTCCCCCTCCTCCTCCTCCTCCTCCTCCTCCTCCTCCTCCTCCTCCTCCTCGTTGCCGCCCTCGCCACTGCCGCCGCCGCCGCTGAATACGCTCTTCTACTTCTGGGCGCTCTCGCCGCGGCGCCAGCTGCACGCTCCATGAAAGCAGCGCTCCCGCTCAAGCGAGGGCTCGGATCCCAATCCTTTCGGTTCAAGCTCAACTACGGCGGCGACGGTTCCCGCTCGATGCATTCTCAGAGATGACTCCGAGACGCCTTGGCCAGAGAGGGTCCTAAAGTGAGGAACGGCGCTCTCGTTCGATACGTCCTCGCAGTTCAGTCAAGTTGGTAAAAGCCCAAATGCGCGACGGCAAAGGTTTCCTGCCGATACTTCCTCGCAATTTGTTCCGAAGCGCTTTGGTCAGAAGTCGCCTCCGCTCCCCGGAATGGCGCTCTCTCCTGAGATTTCCTGGCGTTCCGCTTGGGTCGGCCAGGGCCCACTTACGACGACAACGGTTGCCGCTTGACTCTTTCAATTTGATCCCACGCGCCCTGGTCAGATGTGCCCTCGGCGCTGTCGCGCGAGATTTCCTCGCACTTCAGCCAAACTGGTAGAGGCCCAACTGCGACGACAACGGTTCCCTTTCGATATGTCTTCGCAGCTAACTCCGAGGCGCGTTCGCCAGAGACGCCCCCGTTCTTAGGAATGGCGCTCTTGCCCAATACTTTTTCGCAGTTCGGCTCCCTTTCGATACCGCCTTGCAGTTTACTCCGAGGCGCCTTGGCCAGAGAGGCTCCTGACCCGGGAACGGCGCTCTCGCTCGAGCCATTGCAGTTCACGCTGGCGAAGGCTCAACTACGAAGACACGGGCTTATGTTCGATACCTCATTATAGTTTACTCGCGTGCGCCCTGACCATATGCATTCTGACACTCAGGTGTAGCGCTCTCGCCTGAGACTTCCTTTCAAGTGATTCCAACTGGTGGAAGCCCAGCTACAACAACAATGGCTCCCGCTCAGTACTTCCTCGCAGTTTGCTCTGAGATGCCTTGGAGCCCCCTGCTCTCAGGAACGGCACTCTCTCGAGAGAGATTTCCGCACAAGTCGCTCAAGTTGGTGAGTTGACCGTGGGCGCGATAGCTCGCATGACGGCCAGGGCGTCGCTGTGCTCACATGTGCTCACATACAGTGCATGTCTGAATGTTTCTCCCAGGATCTAGTATGGATTAAGCCCCCACAGAACGGGGGTGGTTCATAGACTTAGCGGGTGGGTAAAAGGGGGATGGAGAAACGAACGAATTCAAGCCAGCTTGTGAGATCACATGTTCGCAAGATGGTCGACGGCCCCCAGACCTGTCCAGGCGGGCGGTTTACGCTGTCCAGGCGGTTAGAGAGGTGGATTGATGCCATGGGCCCGACCTTTTCGAACCTAAATTCCAAGAGACCCCGGTTGTCCAAAGGCTCGAGGAGGCGCCGACGACGGGTGGGCCCAGGCCTCCTTGACGAGGGCCCACTCCCCCATTCCCTTCTTCCTTCCCGTCTTTCCCCCCCATGCCCGCCTTCCACTCCCCCCCCTCCTACCCCCCCGTCCCCCCTCACCCCTGGACAG